AAGGCATATTTACAGACAGGACAGAAAGATCCTCTATCCACTGGTTTACTCCCCAAATGGCTGCAAAGGCCAGAGCTGAGTCAATCCGAAGCCAGGAACCAGGAATTTCTTACAGTTCTCCCACATGGGTACAGGGACCCAAGAACTTGAGCCATCTTATGCTGCCTTCCCAGGCCATAAACAGAGAGCTAAGTCCAAAGTGGAGCAGCTGGGATACGAACTGGCACCCTATCAGATGTCAGCGGAGACAGGGAATTAGCCTGCTGAGCCACCACATCAGCTCCTATACCGCCTTTAAAAACGAAAAACTGGGGCAGCCCTTAGGCATGGCAGTTAAGATGTGGCTTCAGACACCCACAGCCCATGTCCATGTTGGAGTGTCTGGTTTCAAGTCCTAACTCCACTTCCTTTTTTTTTTTTAAGATTTAAAGAAGAGAGACAGAGAGAAAGAGCTTCCATCTGCTGGGTCAATCCGTAGATGACCATAAAGGCCAGTACTGGGTCAGGATAAAGCCAGGAGCCACATGCTTCACCTATGTATCTTACATAGGTGACAAGGACCCAACACTCAGGCCATTTTCCATTGCTTTTCCCAGGCTATTAGCAGGAAGCTGGACCAAAAGTAGAGCAACCAGAACAGGCACCTCTGTGGCTTTACCTAGAATGCCATGATATCAGCTCCCAGTAAATACAACTTTTTAGGGGATAACTTCTAACCTACTATAGTTTCCTTCTTACAGGATTTCGTTTTCACAAGCCCAGGTTCAGAAGTAGTGGAACCGGCTGGCATGATGGCTCAGCTGAATAATCCTCCAGCTGCAACATCCTCTGGCTGCAACCGAGGTACAGTTCTGCTCCTGGCTGTCCCACTTCCCATCCAGCTCCCTGCTAATGGCATGGAAAAGCAGCAAAGGAGAACTCAAGTCCTTGGGTCCCTGCATCCACATGGAAGACCCAGAGGAAGCTCCTGGCTTCTGGCTTTGTACAGGATCCATTTCAGCCACTGTGGCCATTTGGGAAGAGTACCAACAGGTAATAGATCTTGATCTGTGTGTGTGTGTGTGTGTGTGTGTGTGTGTGTGTGTGTGTGTTTCCTTCTCTCCATAAAGCTTTCAAATAAAAATAAACAAATCTAAAAAAAAAAAAGTACTCCTCGAATCAGGGACCCTGGGATGGGTGGGAGGCTGGGTGGGAGACTGGGTGGGGCTTTTCCCTTTATTTCCCCTCTTACCCCAGATACAGAAAAAAAATGTGGAAACAATGGCCTTACCCAATTTCCTGTAGCCTTTGACCCTTTGTGCCCTAATCAACTATGTAAAGATTATAAAAATAATATGTATATATGTTTTTAAAAAGTACTGAGTTGTGCAAAAAAAGCTGGGCAACCTAGCCAAAAGCATGTAGCTTGTAATAAAGGTACTTTCTCTAATCCTTGGGGGAAATTATTAGTGTAGACTGACACCTTGATTCTCACAGGATTATTCTGCAAGCCTTGGGGTCATGAAAGGATAGGAAGTGCCCAATGAAGCAAAATCAAGCGCAAGTGAGTTCTCTCAGTTGAAAAAGAAACCAAACTTAACTGACTTAAGCAAATTACTAGTCCTATGAATCCTGATTAACCATTTTTGCAATAATAGTAATGTATAACTACACAGGAAGAAACAGTTATTTGAGGAAGCACTTGCTAAAATAGATTGAAATGAAGTGGTATGATAGACACAACTTATGTCCAAGATGAAGGAGCTGAGTGCATCAGTGGATAAGGGAGCTATTCACAAGCCAGGAACACCTGGGCTTGATCTAACCTTGGAACACCAAGTGGCAGAACAAAATTCACAGTGCTCTCTTCCTCTGGTTAAAAATAACAGAAGAGAGTGTCCCTGGCCTCAATACTCTCTTCTTGTGTCTTCTTGAGTTATAAATAACAGACCAAAGCATACCAAGATGCTGTGTTAATGTCTTCTCTCTTACTTTTTTTAGTTTTGCTAGCATAAGAATAATTAGTCTTAAGAATTGCTAGCTTTGTGAACTTGAACTTGGGTAATGCAACAAGGTGGAGGAATACACCATGGGGGGAGGGCTTGGGGAGGGGTGGGGAGAATCCCAGTACCTATAAAACTGTGTCACATAATGCAATGTAATTAATAATAGTAATTTTAAAAAAGAATTGCTAGTTTCACATAAGATCAGAACTAATGAAAGCCTTTGTTTGACATGTGCATTCTTTTGGGGTATAAAAGTCTCTGTATCCTCTGGGCCCAGCAGCATGGCCCAGCGGCTAAAGTCCTCGTCTTGAACGAACCGAGATCCCATATGGGCGCCGGTTCTAATCCCAGCAGCTCCACTTCCCATCCAGCTCCCTGCTTGTGGCCTGAGAAAGTAGTTGAGGTCCCAAGGCTTTGGGACCCTGCACTCGTGTGGGATACCAGGAAGAAGTTCCTGGATCCTGGCTTCGGATTGGCATAGCATCGGCCGTTGCGCTCACTTGGGGAGTGAATCATCAGATGGAAGATCTTCTTCTGTCTCTCCTTCTCTCTGTATATCTGAGTTTGTAATAAATAAAAAATAAATCTTTTTTTAAAAAGTCTCTGTATCCTCAAATAAAGTGCATTATCCTGAAAGTGTGGATGATGACCACAGGGTAGAATAATAAAATAATTTCTCCGTTAAGTTTCTTCTTGTTGTCTGTTCGATTAATCCTGACACCAAGAGACCCAGGAAGAGGCAGGCAGCTGGCCTAGCCTTTAAGTCACTACTTGGGAAGCCAACATCCCACACTGGAGTACCTGGATTCAACTCAGTTCTGGTTCCCAATTCCATCTCCTGCACAGGGGAGCAGAAACTCAAGGAAGTGGGTTATCATCATCCAGGGACTGAGTTTCTGGCTCCTAGCTCGGCCCTTTTACCAAGTATTGCAGGCATTTGGTGAATGACCCAGCATGGAAGATACTCTCTAGCTAGCTAGCTCATATACATGCTCTCATTCTCGCTCTCATTTTTTCTCTTTCTTTCTTTTTCTCTCTCTTTCTCTCTCTCTCTCTCCCGACCTCCCTCTAACGAATACATGATGAGGGTGAGGGCTAAAAACACATATACAAAGAAAGATAAAATGCTAACAATTGCTGAATTTAGAATGTTAATTGGACCATGGATGGTTTCAGCTTCTCTACTTGTAAGAAATTTTTCCAAAATAAAAAAATAGAAGCCAGTGCCATGGCATAATAGATTAAGCCTCCACCTGCAGCCCCTAAATCCCATATGGGCACCAGTTCAAGTATCAGCTACCCCAATTCCGATCCAGCTCCCTGATAATGACCTGAAAAACAGAAGCAGAAGATGGACCAAGTGCTTGAGTCCCTACACTCCAAGTGGGAGACCCAGAAGCAGCTCCTGGCCCTTTCAGCCTGGTCCAGCTCTGGCCACTGCAGCAATTCACTAGATACTGAAGCAAACCAACAGCTGTAAGAGCTCTTTCTCTTTCTGTAACTCTGCTTGCAAATAAAATTATTTCCTTAAATTAATTCTAAAAAGTGATGAAGGAGAACAGGGACATAATTTAAGACTTGCACCTCACTTCAGAGGGATCAGACCTATCATTAAAAGAATATCACAGATAAGTGTATAACATACAGGTTTCTTGTTTCCAAGTTTTTCCCTCTCCCTCTCCAAAAATCCACCATGGAGAACAAAACACTTCTCACAAAGCTCTTTCTCCAGTTTAACTCCTCCCTGAATAGAGGCAGGAGAAAGTCAGGAAGTTGGCACAGGTTACCAGCCCAGCAAGTACAAAAGATCAGAGAAAGGATTAAGGGATTAAGGATCTGAGGAAATTAATTCTGTCTTCAATTTATCTAAACTCGCTTCTCTTATTTAACAGGGAAGGGAATGGGAAACTACAATAAAACAAATAAAATCCCAAAACTAGTTATCACAAAACATGTGATAGCCCAGAGTTGAAGTATTGTTTTCTGGTGAAGAGATTAGCCAATAGATTGGGAAAGAACAGAGAATGCCTGGGAAAACAGAATACCTCCCTAAACAGGAAGGAAAGAGCACACAGAAGAAAGGAGACCAAATGCGAGACATGGCTACAGCTGCCCTGCCACGACCACGGCCACCCCTAAGGACCTAACGACACCAGCACCAAAGTCCTCCTCAACGTCCCAAATGACACCAGTAACCACCTCTGAAAAGCTATGAGGAGCACATAAATACACCAAGATGATGACCAGCTAAGAAAAACACACAACATAATTCCTTTTCTACTCCAACAACAAATAAAGCCAACCACTGGTAAAATTTTTTCAATCATCACAAAGCTCAAGAACTTTCTTCAAAAAGGTTTCTCCCTGAAGGCATTTTGCTGCCTTTCAGTGAAAAAAAAATTAATAAATTTAAAGTTAATAAATAATAATAATAATAATAAATGTAAAATAAAAATTGATAAGTGTTATTTGGAAAACTGTAATCTTAATGATACCTTTGAAAGACCAAACATTTGTGAGCCACCTCTTTTATTTCACAGTTACGTGAAAAACTGTGATGTCAAACAGATTCAGAAAGACCACAATCATTATTTAAACACAATTTCAACAATGGAGGAACACAGCATTTCTTAAAGGCTTGACCTCCTTGTAATCACATACCTTGAAAATTCCAATCTAACTGATCTAAAATAATCTGCTCATTTTGTTTCTCTAATTGTCAACATGCTTTTTGGGGGAAAAGAATTTAATTATATATTCAAACACAACTTGAGGAGAAGACAGCTGACCATTAAGGTTTACAATAAACAACCTCACTTACAGAAGATCATGATTTCAGTTACAGTTATTAATCCAATCACTGAAGATGGATTAGGCTGGCAATATTTACTTGGCAACAACTTGACACTGCAACAATTTTCAAATATAATACATTCATTCTTTAATAACTTTTTTAAAAAAGCCATACCGCAATTAACCAAGTACAAAACTGATCAACAGAAAGTACCACCTTACCTATTTGAGGTGGATCTAACACTGCATTGGCAGATGCTTTAAAATAACAGTTTCCCTTAGAGTTATCCCCATGGTTCATTTCTTTACCTCCTTCTGGAGGCAGAGGATCTGAACTGCAGATTACAGGATCACTGGCTGACTGCTCAACGGAGTTATTTGCAGCATCCTAAAAGGAACATATGTGTTAATCAAAAATTAGTTATAATTTTACATTTCCACAAGTTCTTTCAATTTTCCCTATTTTTACTTAATATGAGCTCCTGGGGCCAGCATTGAGGCCCAGTATGTTAAGACGTCACCTGCAATACCAGCATTCCATGTGAATGCAGGTTTGAATCCCCACTGCTTCACTTCCAATCCAGCTCCCTGTGAGCAGCCTGAGCAGGCAGAGAAGGTCCAAAAACCCAGGCCCCTGTCACCCATGTGGGAGACCCAGATGGAGTTCCAGATTCCTGCCTTTAGTCTCACCCAACGCCGGCCACGGCAAGTAATCAGGGAGTGAATCAGTGGACAAAGGATCGCTCTCTATAATTCTGCCTTTCAAATAAATAAATCTTTTAAAAACATGAGTTATTATTTCCAAATTTCTAAATCATGGATATTTTATGATAAGTTGAAATTCAATTGTTACTGCTTTTAAAGCTGGTTTTTGCAGCTAACAGACAAACTGCAAATGTGCTTAAAAAAAACAAGAAAATGTGCTTATTGTGATGAGTTCTAAACAAATAATATGTCAATCTCATACTTCAGCAAGCTTCTCCTTATTAAATTTCTCAATACTAAAATAAAGACTTCAATATTGATAATATTTTAGGTGCGAATACTGTCAATATCACTGTTGGTATTTCTCACAGAGCCTTGATAGATTAGGGAATATTTGAGACAGACTGAAAAATTTACAAATGCAAAGAAATTCTGGGGATGTGATTCAAAATAAGTGGGGAGGGCATGAGCAGAGAACTGGCCAGGAAAAGATGAAACCAGAGTGATCATGAGTAACAATGTTGCAGCTAGGTGAAGGGATGCATAGACAGGTGTCATCTTGCATATCTCAAAGTTTTCCATAGTACCTATGCTAAATTATCACACACTTAGAAACATAAAACTAGGATTTATCATTTTGCAGTACCACAAGTTACAACACCAACTTGGGACTTACTGGGCTCAAATCAGGTTACTGGCAGAACTGCATCCCTTTCTGGAGACTCTACATCTTTTCAAACTTGCACAAGCTACCCTCAATCTGTGCTTTGTGCCCTCTCACTCCATTTTGAAAATTAGCTATATCACATTTCTCTAATCCTATGTTCAGAATCTCATAATCTGACTCTTTTGTCTCACTTTCTTAAAAAAGATTTATTTATCTGAAAAAGTTACAGAGAGTGAGACAGCGAGAAAGGATTTTCCACCCACTGGTTTACTCCCCAGATGACAGCAATGACCAGAGCTGGTCCAACTTGAACCAAAGCCCATATGGGATATTAGCACCACTCATGGTGATTGTACCCACTCCATCATGGGACCAGCCCCAAACACCTGCACTAACAAGGACCCTTACGGTTATTCCAAACCCAGTCAGAGAATCCAGGAATGTCTTTACCTCATAGCATTAATTAATTCAGCAAAACCTGTTTGCCACATGAGATAACATATTCAGTTTCCTAGGATTACATTAGGAACCTTTAGAGGTTTGGTGTCATCCACTTTAAAGACAGCAGATCTTCCAACTGCTGCCTCACTTCACAAAAGCCACAGCCAGGATCAGGCCACACCAAAGCCAAGATCCAATACATGGCTGGCAGGACTAAAGTTATCACAATAAATCTGTTGCCAACTACATTTTTAAGAATCTAGAGCCAGCACCATTTTGGTACCATGAGTTGGGCACACGAAGTGGAGCCTCCACTTCATCAGCCAATCTTGGCCAATGAGTGGAGGTCATAGCCCACTCCTAGTTGCTTCTTAAGCAGTCGGCACCATCTTTATTCTGGTGGTCAGTGTCCCTTCGGGTGCTGCGCTCTGAGTGCTGGCCACTTGCTGATGAACTCCGGGGACTTGGGGGTGACGAATTAGTGCCTAGGGACATCCATGAATACAGACAAGGTACATGTAAATGAGGAATGAATCCTTGGGGACACCTAACAACAGGGCCACTGCACTTGCTGGTAAGTGAGGGGACTGAGAAGCTGGTGGTATGGAAGGGAGAGATTGGAAGATCTGTATGGGTTAGGCTGATTCTTCAGCCCACATGGGAGTCCTGAGATGGGCTTGTTAGCACAGAGCATCACTGGCAGCCACATGCTATACCACATGAAAGCTACGGCTGAGGGCCTGTCTAACACAGCTAGATCCCAGTACCTGATTGAGTGTTGGAACAGGGGACAGGTCACATTAGGCAGGGTCATGACACTAACCATCACACAGAAGAACCAGGACGTGGGGTAGATTTAGTGGGGGATATGTGGGCCCAACCCTATAGAAACACAAGTCCTGCTGATTAGCTCAAGAGTTGGGGTGGCGACTGGCTGAACTACATGTGAAAATGGAACCCAGCAACATTCACAGTACGGGGTCTGAGAATAGGCTGGGCAGGTCCAAGCTGCAGCACCTGCATGCACATCCTAAAACAAGGTATAGTCCAGGCTGGCCTGCAACATCTACCAGTTCATACAAAGGCCAAGATGGAGGAGCAGGCTATGCTGAACAAGGGTCTAGCACCTGCTGCAACATGTGAGATCTGGTTCTGGGAGTGGGCTGAGAGGGGGAAAATCGAAAACTCCCCTACTGGGCCATAGCTCCCACTGGCAAGCACATATTCCAGACCTAGGGGTCAGGGAACTGGGCAATGCAGCACCGCCCTTTGGCAACTATGTGGGTTAGTTTTGGAAGGGGACAGAAAGGGGCAGGGCAGAAGAGACTTTAGCCCACTGGTGAGTGCAGAAACCGGGTCAGAGTGCAGGTCATGATGGGCTAGAGTATCACACCTACTGGTTCACATGAGCCAGGGATTGGAGCAGACTGAGCAGGGCCAGATTGCAGCACACACCAGCGAGAGTTGGGACTGCAGGTTGGCTAGGCCAGGCCAGCTAGCAACATTCAAAGGCAAAAGTTTAGACAGATGAGGGGCTATGCCAGGCTGGGTCAGAGCAACCACTGGCATGCGCGAGATCTGTGGAGGGGAGCAGGCCCGGCTGGGGAGCAAAGATGACACCCTGGCCAGGTTGTAATCCTCATTGGAAAGCATGAGGGCCATGTGGTCTGATCTAGATATAGCTGCAGAATCCCTCGGCATGTGTGGGCTGGGTATGGGATGCGCCAAACTGGGCTAGAATCCAGTACCCACTGGTGAGAACTAGGCCTCTGTTGATCCATGGGTGAGCTATGTTTGGGTGCTGACCAGGCTTAGCTGTGCTGTAGTACCCAAAAGGAAGAACCAGAATTGGTGAGGGCTAGTCACAAAAGGCCACTGTTCCTACTAGGACAGGAGGTGGACTAAGTAGGGCTGGCCCATAGACCCACCAGTGTGTGCAAGATCTGGCATAGGGAGAGAATCTTTTTTTTTTAAAGACTTATTTATTTTTATTACAAACTCAGATATACAGAGAGGAGGAGAGACAGAGAAGAAGATCTTCCATCTGACCGATGATTCACTCCCCAAGTGAGCGCAACGGCCAATGCTATGCAGATCCAAAGCCAGGATCCAGGAACTTCTTCCAGGTCTCCCACATGAGTGCAGGATCCCAAAGCCTTGGGCCGTCCTCAACTACTTTCCCAGGCCACAAGCAGGAAGCTGGATGGGAAGTGGAGCTGCCGTGATTAGAACTGGCGCCCATATGGGATCCCGGCGTGTTCAAGACGAGGACTTTAGCCGCTAGGCCACCGCACTGGGCCCATAGGGAGAGGGATCTGACATTCTAATGGAGGAGCTTGGGGAACTGCTGTGTCAGGACACACTCCCTGCAGGTGAATGCAAGAACCAAGATAGGGAGCAGCCCAGATCAGACCAAAATATGATACCCACTGGTATACATTTGGTACAGGTTTGGAGGCAGGCCATGCTGGGTCAGTTCATATCACCTGCTGGCAAATCCAAGCGCCAGAACAGAGTGTGGGTCAGGCTGGGTCAGGGTGCAATTCCAGGCAGTCCACATAAGAGCCAGGACTGGGGACTGGCAGAGCTGGGCTAGGATGTAGCCCCAACCAGCATAAGTTGGAATTGGGGATGGGCCTGGCCTGGCCCACTGGCAGATGCTGAGGTGAGGCAGGCTGTGCCAGACTGGGCCGCAGCAACCAACCAGCACATGTAAAACTCAGGGGGTGGTGGGGATGTCCCCAGTGAGGGGGCTGCAAGGGCCCCACTACTGGGCCACCACTCCCACTGGTGAACATGAGAGCTGGGATGGGGGCAGACAAGGCCGGGCATGGCCACAACATTGGATGGCCTACATGTGAGCTAGATCAGGGAAAAGCCAGGCTGGGCTGACTGTACCTTCTGGTACATGCATAAGCCACTGTGGGTGTGGATTGATTGGGTTCTGTTGCAACATCAGCTGGCAGATGCTGGCACAGGGGCCAAATTCTGTCAGGTGCAGGCATGGCTTAAACAGATGGTGGCACCCACGGGCACCAGTGTGGACTGGATAGTTGGACTGGTTGGGACAAACTGGGCTTTACTGCCCATCTACGTGTATGAGAGCAGAATGAGATGTGGGACAGACAGAACAAGTATGCTGTACATACTGGTAAGCACGAGAACCAGGGCGGGGCAGGTTTGATGGGGGGTTTTTTGGGTCACTCCGACTAGACTGCAGTTCCCCTGGTTTACATGAAGGCCAAGTATGTGGTGAGCAGGATCAGGCTGGGCTCCTACACCCACTGGGTTGCATAAAACATGGGGCTGGAGGACCCGGCGCGGTGGCACAGTGGTTAAGGTCCTCGCCTTGCACGCCCGGGATCCATATGGGCGCCGGTTCTAATCCCGGCAGCCCCGCTTCCCTTCCAGCTCCCTGCCTGTGGCCTGGGAAAGCAGTCGAGGACAGCCCAAGGCTTTGGGACCCTGCACCCGCGTGGGAGACCCGGAGGAGGCTCCTGGCTTCGGATCGGCATAGTATCGACCATTGCGGCTCACTTGGGGAGTGAATCATAGGATGGAAGATCTTCCTCTCTGTCTCTCCTCTCTGTATATCTGCCTTTCCAATAAAAAAATAATAATAAAAAAAAATAAATCTTTAAAAAAAAAAAAAAAAACATGGGGCTGGAGACTGAACTGACCCAACAATTGCTACTACCAGTATGTGCGTAGGCTGATATGGGTGACAGACTGCCGGATCCTGTATTGGCAAACATACACAAGAATCAGGTCTGGGATGGCCTCAGATGAGATTTCTTTGGCAATTCCCTACCAACTGAACCGCTGGACTCTAACCATGGAGAGAAGTGCAGGTTCCCACGAGCGAGAGTTGGGACTGCAGGCTGGCTAGGCCAGGCCAGCTTGCAACTGTGGGAATGGATGTGTCAGAGCTGGGCCTTCTCAGTGGCGCAGGTGGATCAGTGGACAGCGTATCCAAATGTACATGGAGGATAGGGCAGTACATTGGAGCCTACAGAGGACACCTGATACCAAGGCAGAGGTCGGAGGACAGAACAATTTGATCAACTACCCCTGCCCAGTGACGATCTAGACAGACGGAGACACTAAGGTAGACTATAGCAGCCAGTGGATTCAGAAGAGATTTCATCATGATTGGAGGGGCGGGATCGGCAGAAATTCAGGACTGTTGAACTATCAAAACCTCTTGAGAAATTCATGCAATTGTAAATTTCTGTGTTTCTTCCTGTTGTTTATTTTGTATTGTGGCTTTTCATTTAAGAGGGATGTGTGGTGGCTGTATAATAGAGACTATCATGCCCAGATGAGAGGATGCAGTGCAGTGTGCATCTCTACTTCCACATTAAAAATGGACTACTAATGAAACTATTAGCTGTATCTTGACAATAGGAAGCTGGACTCTCTGTCATTGTCCATGCCTGCAATGATGAACATGTGACTGTATATGAAGAGATATGCTATATATAGGGGAATTTTATGGGGGGAGGAGACTTGGGGAGGGAGCAAGGGAAATTCCAGGGTCTATGGAACTGTAACATACAGAAATTAAAATTATATATATAAAAGAATCTATCTAGAGGCTGGCACTGTGGAGTAGCACATTAAGCCTCCATCTGCAGTACTGGCATCCCACATAGGTGCCAATTCAAGTCTCAACTGCTTCACTTCCTATTCAACTCCGTGTTAATACCCCTAAGAAAGCTGCAAAAGATAGGGCCCAGCACGATAGTGTAGTGGTTAAAGTCCTCGCCTTGTACCTGCCAGGATCCCATATGGTAGCCAGTTCTAATCCCAGCGACCCTACTTCCCATCCAGCTCCCTGCTTGTGGTCTGGGAAAGCAGTCAACGATGGCCCAAAGCTTTGGGACCCTGCACTTGTGTGGGAATCCCAGAAGTTGTTCCTGGCTCCTGGCTTCGGATTGGCTCAGCACCAGCCGTTGCAGTCACTTGCGGAGTGAACCATCAGACGGAAGATCTTCCTCTCTATCTCTCCTCCTCTCTGTATATATGACTTTCCAATAAAAATAAATAAATCTTTAAAAAAAATCTAAAAAAAAAAAAGCTGCAAAAGATAAACCAAGTGCTTGAACCTCTGCAATGACATGGGAGACTTTAAAAAAATTCCTGACTCCTAGCTTTACACTGTATCAGCTCCAGCCATTGGGATCATTTAGGGAGTGAACTAGTGAATGAAGGATCTCTCATCTCTCCATCTCTCTCAGTAAAGTCTGCCTTACAAATAAAAACGATGCTCAAAAAGAATGCTTAAAACCCTTATCTGGGACTCCCAGGGGTACTGTAGCCAGGCCGTATGAAGCCCTGGAGGAGGGCTCACACGGTGCGCCTTCAAGACCCCCAGCTTGGAGGATTTTCAACCCTGGCAAAAGGTACAAGCAGCTGAGCACACTGACTCCTTTGTGGGAGGGAGGCTTGGCAGGCTTCCGGGATCATTCAATCCTGGAGGCCAGGTTTTTCAACCTGTGAGGGTATTGTAGCTGAGCGGCACAAGGGGCTTCACTCGGCACCTATGGTGCCTGGGCCGCCGGGGTGTACATTCACGGCTAGACTGGCCTGATTTACATGGGGATGATGGAATCACACAGGGTGCAGTGGGAGGTGACCGGTTGTTTTTATGCCCAGGTTAGGAATTACAGCTAAGGGATTTCTATAGACAAGTACACAACATGTGTATAGATGTATGGGACCCACACCAAAGTGGTTTGGAGGCGAGAACAAAAGTGAGAGAAGTAGATCTGATTGCACAATCCGTGGGGACAATGTGGGTTCACCCCCATGGAACTGCAATTTCTGCTGCCCATTTCTAGAACTGCAGATGGGGTCAGGTCTGGCTGGGAAGCTAAGGGGGCACCTCAGTTGGGTTGGGATTTCCACTGGTGAGAACAACAGTTAGGACTGAGTGCAGCAGGTGTAGCTGTATATGGTTACAGACTGCACCAGCTCGGGTGTGCACAGGGATGGTGGAATGTCAGATTGGGCTTAACTCCAGCCCCCACTGGTACTTGTGAAAGCCAGTTTCAGTGTAAAACAGTCCAGACTAGGTCTTGACTCCCACTGAACTACATGAAAGCTGGATCTGGACATGGACCAAGTAGTGCTGGCTACAACACCCAACAACAAGAACCAGAATGGGTGTGGCCGGTTGAGCAAGCCTTTTTCGCCAGGATAGAAGGTGGACAAAGTCAACCTGAGCCAACAACCCACTGGTATGAGTGAGAATGCCACCAGGAGGAGACTCAGTGGAGGAGCTTGGAAACTCCTTCATCAGGACATAGACCCTGCAGGAGAGCACAAGAAGCAAAGCAAGAAGCAGCCAGACCATGCCAGGTTGCAGCACCCACCAGCATACATGTGGGTCAGATCTGGGGACAGAACAGTCTGGGCTAGCATACAACATCCACTGGTAGATCTGAGAACCAGGGTAAGAGGCAAGAAGAGCCAGATCAGGCCGAAACACCCGCAGCCAGTTGACATTAGGACCATGACAGCAGACTGGGCTGGGCTGCAATAGGCTGCAGCACCCACCAACAGGAGCTGGAAGAGGGGACAGAATAGGCGAGGCAGTGCAATAAGATATGGAAGCTCCAGTGAGGCGAGTCATGCCAGCCTAGGCCAAGCAGAGGCCAGGTTTGTGAATCCCAGGGACAGGGGATCTGACAGGGCTTGGGTAGCTTGGCTCAGGCAATAGGGCCCACCTGTATGGTGGGAGATGGGTTCCTGAGCACTGAGGGACAGAGGAACTGATGGGTTATGGGTCACTTGGCCCAGATCCTGGGGCCCGCCTGCCTTCTAGGTGGATGTCCGGTTCGTGAACCCCAAGGGTGGAGGATCCAGCTGGGCCTGGGTCTCCTGGCCCAGGTACCAGGGCCTTCTCACTCAATGGCTGCTGGGTTTGTGAGTCCCAGAAGAGGGGGATTCGATAACACTTGGGACACCTGGCCCAGCTACTTGGACTCGCCTATGCCCTACTTAATGAAAAAGGTAGAGCAGTGAACACAGGCCCTGTTGTAAAAGGAGAATAAAGTAGTAAATTTGGTGTTGTAGCAGAATAACAGAACTAACTGGCAACTAGTCCAAACAATGATGACTGCAAGAAATCTTAGTTAATAGAACCAATGGACATTGGGAGGGTGACATCATCCTTGAATTGGTGAAATCGGCAGCATTTCAGAACTATCCAAACCACCTGGACAGAACCCTCAGAATATGTGCACATGGAGACTCTGGGTTGATATGAGGTGGTGGTTTATCATCCCTGGGTACTCGGACGTGTGGAAAGTCGTGAGTGGTTTTCCCCTTTGTTTCTCCCCCTATTCCAGGAACAACAAGAAGAATCATCAAATTTGGAAGCAATAAATTCACCCAATTTTCCCTAAACCTTGATCTTTCCCAGCCTGATCAACCATGTAATCATTATTTTAAAAAAAAAAGATAAATAAATTTTAAAATTTAAAAAAAAACCCTTATTTGATAAGATCTCAAAGTAAGTCCACTAAGGGAAGCCACATATCTCATTTTTGCAATATTTTGGTCTTCTGTCTGTTTGCTTGTTTTGTTTGAGACACAACAAGAGTTTAGCACCCTGGTTAAGACACAGCTTGAGACTGCAGCATACTGCAGAGTACTCGAGTTTTAGTCCCAACTCCAACCCCAATTCTAGCTCCGTGCTAATGTACATTCTGCGAGGTAACAGGTTTGGTTTAAGTAGCTGGGTCCCTTCCTCCCCTGTGAGAAACCTGGTCTGAGCTCCTGCTCCTGGCTTCAACCTGCGCAAACACTGCTGATGCAAAGCATCTGAGAAGTGAATCAGTAGACGAAAGCTCTTTGCCTCTCTGCTTTTCAAATAAAAAATGTTTAAAGAAAACACACACACACACTCGTGTATTTTTCTTTTTTTTACCTTAAACGATTTCACATCTGGGTTCAGTTTTGTAATCTCTTCAATCAAACTTGGTTGACTTCTTCCTGGGGGTAAAAATTTCAGTCTTTTGAAGGAATTCCCCTGCAACTGACTTGGCGCTGCAGATCGTCTCATATTCAATAGCACTGACCTGAAAAATGACCAAAACAGAATTAACTCATGAGTCTACCAATGTGCACATGACCCCCTTTCACGGGGCAATGAAACTGCCCTCCTATTTCCACCCAGCTGTGTGAATGTGAACAAGCCACACCTGACCTCTGAGATAGGCAGATAAAAGGCAAGTGCAGGAAACAGCACGGTGGCAAAGCCATCAACACTCCTTTGCCGATGCCTGTTGGCATCTCCCAGTCCAGCTCCCTGCTAATGCACCTTGGCAAGCACTGATGGCCCCAGGACTTGTCCTCCTACATTCACATGGGTTCCTGGCTTCAGGTCGGTCAGTCAGTGTAGCCATTTAGGAATTGAGCCAGCAAATCTGTCTGTCTCTCTCTCATTTGGCAGAGTTTAGGATAGTACTTGATACCTGTATGTCATGTCAGAGAGCCTACACTCAAGACCCAGTTTGCTTTTATTTTTAAAGATTTATTATTTTTATTGGAAAGGCAGATTTACAGAGAAAAGGAGACACAGAAAGATCTCCCATTCGATGGTTCACACCTCAAATGGCTACAATAGAAACATAAATGAATTGTGCTTAGACCTGGGCCCCATTCTTAACATAATTCATTATGCCAACATAAATACTCAAAAATCCACAAAAATTACAAGTCATTTTTGATGAAGGATACTAGCTTATATTTCATGTATCATGGAAACAGTGTTTTATTTGTTACATAATTCTATAGTCATTAATAACAAAAGAAACTTTGAAAGAATGTTTTGGGGCTGGCATTGTGGCACAGCAAATACAGTCAAGGCCTGCAAAGCCAGCGTCCCATATGAGCACGAGTTCAAATCTCAGCTGTGTTGCATCCACATCAACTCCCTGCTAATGCACCCAGAAAGTGTGTGGGGCCCCTATCACAAACAGTCAAGTTAGAGAAGGGCTTCACAATCGCAGGCTTCGGCCTGACCCCGCTTCGGCCCTTGTGGCCCCACTGCCAGAGGGCATCCCAGTTAGCACCCTGGGTCGCCTCCTCACACACCCGCACCATCACCACCACCAGGCAGCACCCCAGCCGCCTCCTCACACACCATCACCATCACCCAGACCATCACCCTGGGCGCGTCCTCACACACCCGCACCATCACCTTCACCAGGCAGCACCCCAGCCGCCTCCTTACACACCCTCACCATCACCCTCACCGTCACCCCAGAGCGCCTCCTCACACACCAGCTCCATCACCCTCACCGTCACCCCAGGGCGGCTCTTCACACACCCACTCCGTCACCCTCACCGTCACCCCAGGGCGCCTCCTCACACACCAGCTCCATCACCCTCACCGTCACCCCAGGGCGCCTCCTCACACACCCGCTCCATCACCCTCACCGTCACCCCAGGGCGCCTCCTCACACACCCGCTCCATCACCCTCACCGTCACCCCAGGGCGCCTCCTTACACACCCGCTCCATCACCACCACCAGGCAGCACCCCAGCCGCCTCCTTACACACCCTCACCATCACCCTCACCGTCACCCCAGAGCGCCTCCTCACACACCAGCTCCATCACCCTCACCGTCACCCCAGGGCGGCTCTTCACACACCCACTCCGTCACCCTCACCGTCACCCCAGGGCGCCTCCTCACACCCCGCACCAAAACCCTCACCGTACCCCCGCCGCCAGGCGCGACGTCCCCTGGTCCTAACCGCCTTCCTCCGAGCACTGCCCGCTGCGTCCCGCACCACCTCAAAGCTGCCGCCGTTCGCCCCCAGCACGCACCGGCAAGCGGCCGGGACGGCCGGCCCCAGCGAAGCGCCGCGGCTCACGGGGTTCCCCGCCCCGCCAGCCCAGCTCGGGGTTCCCGCCTCCCAGCGGCCAATCCGCGCCCAGGCCTCGGCGCGCGCACACTGCGTCACAGCCGCGGCGCCCCGTTCGCCGGGCTCCGAGTGGGCGCCCTCGCCGCACCACGGCGCATGTGCCTGTGCAGCGCCCTGATTGGAGCCCTGCAGGCCGCGCTGGGAGGCGTGTAGCAGGTGTAAACGCACTGAAAGAAACTTGCGCATCACGGAGGTGTTGTTCTGTTATTCGCGCGGAAAACAAGGCCTCCTGTTAGAGCAATGGGAACGGCTATGCAGCCAGTAGAGGTGTAAATACGTACAGTTTATTTTAAGTACCTTGACAGCATTTTTAAAAGGATTTATCTTATTTGAAATAGTGTCAAGGAGATCGTCTAAACCCTGGTTCACTGTCCAAATTCTCCCAAGAGCCAGGAGTTCCATCCTGGTCACCTACATGAATGGCAAGGGCCAGAGCCTTGCCAAAAGGAAAGATATGAGTAGCTGTTAAAGAGTTATTAAAACTGTTTCAGTTCTAAAGAGGCTCACATTGACTGAACTGTGCCTTAGGAAGCTCCAGGGACAATTGTTGGCAAGACTTGGAATCTGGTGCATGACAAGGGTGGGGAATCTGTAGATCATATAATCCCCTTCTCTGGGCTAGAACACGTATTAAGGGTAACCAGGAAAATCGAGTTCTCACTGTGTCTGCAGACACATGATTCTGACAAGCCCCAAATGTCTAAAGTAGGTCTGGGAAAAGGTGGCCTCAGGCTATTTATCTGTCAGATTTGCACTTGCCTGCTGCTTCACCTCATCCACATCAGGATTTACTTGGTGTCTTACCTGTACTCCCACTACTTCTTATCTCATTCTCTGCCTCCCTTCCCCTGGCTCAGAGCTTCTCACCACAGTTTCCACTCCCTAACATTCATACATGCAGATATTGAACTTATATTTCTTCAGAACACAAGCCACAGAAGAGCTGGGTCTTGGCTTTTTCCCCTTTATACGCAGTGTCGCAAACAATACTGACCTAAAGCAGCAAAACTCATGCATGTGGGTGAAAATCAAAGCGCTTGGTGTCTACTCCAAGAGACTTCTACCACCTAGGTTTTAACACACCAGGGTAGACTCAGACACAAAGTGTGAGGTTCAAATTGCAGAGTTTGGGGTTCTGGGAGTACGGGCCTACCTAAGAATCTTCATTCTTCACTTCCTTCCCTTTTTTCTCTTTCAGAAGCAGAGAGACAAAGAATTCCTATCCAGGGACCGGCACTGACATTACCAGGCTAAACCTCTACCTGAAGCTCCTGCATCCCATCAGTTTGTGCCCCAGCTGCTCCACTGCTAATCCAGCTCCTTGCTTGTAGCCTGGGAAAGCAGAAAAAAATGGCTCTAAAGTCCTTGTGTCCCTGCAACCACATGGGAGGCCTGGCTTCAGATCAGCCCAGCACCAGCCATTGCAGACATTTGGGGATTAAATCAGGATGAAAGCTCTCGCTTGCTCTCTCTCTCTCTCTCTCTCTCTCTCTCTCTCTCTCTCGCTCGCTCTCTCTCCCCTTTCTCTATACCTGCCTTTCAAATAAACAACTCTTTGGGGCCCGGTTCACGTGCCAAGATCTCACATGGAAACCAATTCTAATACCGGAGCCCTGCTTCCCATCCAGCTCCCTGCCTGTGACCTGGGAAGGCAGTCAAGGATGACTCAGGGCCTTGGAACCCTGCACCCTCTAGGTGGGAGACCTAGAGGAAGCTCTGGGTTCCTGGCTTCAAATTGGTGCAGCTCCAGCTGTTGTGGCCACTTGGGGAGTGAATTAGAAGATGGAAGATCTTCTATGTCTCTCCTTCTCTCTGTATATCTGACTTAAAAATAAAAATAAAATAAGTAAATCTTCCAAAAAATAAAATAAATCTTTAAATAAATAAATGAAGGTTGCCCATGGAAGGAAAAAAAAAAAAAAGGATTCTCATCCTGATCTCATCCTGATGTTCACTACCAAAATCCCACCAAAGGCTTTTCCAAGCCCGGGGCCAGTAACTCAATCCAGGTCTCCTGTAGAGTGGAAGGACCCCGCCCTGAGTTATCATTGGTTGGAATCAAGCAGAGTCAAACACTGGCCTTCAGACATGAGAGGCAGGCTTCCTAACCAGCATGTAACCATTAGGTCAAAGAGCAATGCTGACTAGCATAACTAACAGGTCCTCAAGTGTGATGCCTCTGCTCTTCCAGAAACCCCATTTGAAATGACAGCATCCAGGCCAGCGTTTTGGCACACAAGGTCAGCCACCACCTGCAGCACTGCCATCTGATATGGGAACTGTTTCCAAGTCCAGGTACTATACTTCAGATCTGGATTCCTGTTAATGCATCTGGGAAAATAGCTGAAAATAGCCCAAGTCCATGGGCCCCTGCACTTATCTAAGAGACCCAGATGAAAGTCCTGTTGGCTTCAGCATGGACCAGCCTCGGCCATCGTGGCCACTTGAGGAATGAAACAGAGGCCAGCAGATAAACATAAAATAAATCTTTTTTTAAAATGTTAAAGATGTGTCTATGTGGAAGGTGAAAAGACAAAGGAGAGACAGGGATGTCTCATCCACTTAGTTTACTCTCCAAATGGTCACAGTGGCCATGCTGGACCAGCCCAGATGGGGTACAGACAGTGGATTTTCCTCCTATGTCACAGCAATGACTCCAATCAATCTTACAAAACAAAACAAAACAAACAAAAAAACAGGGTCAGAACTGTGGCATAACATGTTAAGCTACTACCTGCCATGCCAGCATCCCATATCAGCACTGGTTCAAATCCTAGGTGCTCCACTTCCAATCCATCTCCCTGGGAAAAGCAGTAGAGGATGATCCAAATGCCCAAGCCCCTCCTCCCACATGGAAGACCTAAAGGAAGCGCTTGGCTTTGGTTTGCCCCAGCCCTGGCCACTGTAGCTATTAGGGGAAGGAATCATTGGCCATCAGGGAAAGGAACCCACAGATGGAAGATCTTTCTTATTGTAATTCTTGCTTTCCGATAAAGATAAATAAATCTTTAAACAATAAGTAGATAAAACCACTCCTTCAAACCCATTTTTCACTCTCAGCATAATCCAGGGTGCCTCAGACAAGGGTGAATACTAACTGGCAAGAAGGGCAGGTGCTCTGTGAAAAGTTCTAATCACTGGA